CCTAAAGAAACCTATTTGTTCTTTCTATAGAAGTTCTTTCCCTTCTCTCTCTTTCCTTTATTGAATTAGGCATGTAAGTCTCTATTTAGAGACTTACTCTACTTCTTTTGTTAACTTCCAAATGCACATGAATAAATGTTTTTTCTCCCGTTAGTTTACTTGTTAGTTTAATTTGCAGGCTCCCAATGTCTGAGCCTAGTTGGTTGAGGAAAACTTTCTTCCCAACACAACAATTTTCACACAGGAATTGTCACAAAATATGAAAGAAGAAAACCCAACTCCTCAAAAATTTTGAGTGCCCCCAGACTCTTTTTTTCTAAATGTTAATTTATTTTTGAGAGAGAGAGAGAGAGAGAGAGAGAGTAGGGGAGGGACAGAGAGAGAGGGAAACAGAGTCTGAAGCAGGCTCCAGGCTCTAAGGTGTCAGCACAGAGCCTGATGCTAGGCTAGAACTCACGAACTGTGAGATCATGACCTGAGCTGAAGTCAGATGCTTAACCAGCTGAACCATCCAGGCGCTCCTGAAGTAATAGTTTTTATTTTTTGTTATCTATTTTAATTTTCTTTTTACATTTATTTATTATTGAGAGACAGAGCACGAATGGGAGAGGGGCAGAGAGAGAGGGAGACATAGAATCTGAAGTAGTCTTTAGGCTCTGAGCAAGCTGTCAGCACAGAGCCTGACACGGGGCCTGATCCCACGAACCGTGAGATTATGACCTGAGCTGAAGTCGGACACTTAACCTACTGAGCCACCCAGGTACCCCTATTTTAATTTTCTTTTTACATTTATTTATTATTGAGGGGCAGAGCACGAATGGAGGAGAGGCAGAGAGAAAAGGAGACACAGAATCTGAAGCAGTCTTCATGACTTGAAGCTGAAGTCGGACGCTCATCAGACTGAGCCACACAGGCGCCCCAAAGTAATAGTTTTTAAAGAAGGAAAAGCCATAGGTGGTAACTGTTACAGAAGGCAGAGGCAGTGGCAGTAGAGGCAATGGGATGGAGAGTTAAACATCACGAAGAAGCCAAGGGGCTGTGCAGTTTGACTAATTCTAACCCTGAGTCAGTAAGACTCTCCATTTTCTCATTCCTAAAATGAGGATCTCAGAGTTCATAGTAAGGATTCAATGGGAGAACGAACTCATGGGAATCATGTGATGTAGGGTCTGACAGGTAGAATTCCTCAATATAGGTTAGTTCCTATTATCTTTATTATTCTTCATTAACTTTCACCTGATACAACATCTTTAAGGTTTGAGAGTTAATTTCTATTAAGCCATTTTTTTAAGATTGTAAAGGTCTCTAGAACTCTAGTGTTACATGTTTTAAAGAAAAACACATATAATTTATTTCAGTAAATGAAGGAGATTTAAAAAGCTGAAATTCATCATGAACAGTTCAAAATATAATAAGGCTCTGGCCCTTCAGAACCACATTCCCAATAAAACTTACTAATTTTTCTCTTTTTGCTTCTCATTCTTTTTATAATCAGGTGCTTATCTCGAATTGTTTTAAAATTATGCATGGCTCTTTCCACTTTTTTCCCCTTGTGACTTCCTCACATGTGTATTTTTCTTACTTTCTCTGCTGTTTTCTCTTTGTGTTTACTTCTCTGTGTATTAAACAAGTCTTGCCCTGGTGACTCCTAACCACCACCTTTCTCTTATTTCTTTTTGTTTCCTTCAGCAGGGAGTAATAAAAAGCCAAAAACGTAGTATTAACTTTATTTTACAGTCCTTATTCATGACTACACCTGCGATAAGGACAGGTTACCGACTGCCATGTAAAAAGTTTGTGGGAAGGCCACAAGCAGCACACCACACAACTAGGGTGCCTTGATCTCCAAGCAGCCTTTTTTGTTTGCTATTTGTGCCTTTTCAGTGACTACTAATTTATTGAAAGGCAAAAGATTTATGTCATTCCTTTATTTGAAACATCATTTTATTGTTTATATATTCCACATTTTGAGCTAAAAGTTAGCTATGGCTTAAACAATAAAAAAAAAAAAGAACAAAGGAAATTGTCAGCTGTCCTAAGGCTTTGAAAGGTAAAAGCTTTCTGGACTATGCAAATAAATTTTATTTTTATTTAGTTGGATTAGGCTAGGGTTTATAGGGAATAAATTGGATCAGAGAAATGGAACTAAAGTTACAATGTTAGTCATGTCCCTATTTTTCAGAAGGTTCAGCACAGGTTTTTAAAAATGTTTCATTTCCAACAAGTTTACTTCTCCAATGACACAAAAATATTTTTATATACTATTCCCTTCGATAGCTTCATATTTCAAATACTCTGAAACCAACAAAGGAAACTGTACAGACCTCTATTGGACCTGTGACCATGCGTTTATCTGGAGTTGTTGTGTTCCTGCATTTAATGAGGGTTACAGTCCTTAGGTTTACCCAGGGATCAAGACCTAACAGCAGGAGCTGCATTTATTACCCTATTTCTTGCTGGGACCATGAAACCCTGCTCCATCCATAAAACTTGCTGTCACCCACATTCCTATTTGGGGGAGTATGGTTTATAATTCCAATCTTTTTACACGGAAAAGCAGAGAGATTTTAGTGAGATCTTATACACAGCTGAGGAATCTCTTCCGTAAAACCTCTGACAATTGAAACCTCTACTTCAATAATGCATTGAACCATTACTGGAAAAAACAAAATTCCTTGTATCAGGGAAATGTTAATATATCAGGAGACCTTTTTTTTTTTTTAAATGTTTTATTTATTTCTGAGAGAGAGAGAGAGAGAGAGAAAGAGAGAGAGAGAGAGACAGCGTGAGCAGGGGAGGGTCAGAGAGAGAGGGAGACACAGAATCTGAAACAGGCTCCAGGCTCTGAGCTAGCTGTCAGCACAGAGCCCTACGTGGGGCTCAAACCCACGAACTGCGAGATCATGACTTGTGCTGAAGCTGGACGCTTAACTGACTGAGCCACCCAGGCACAGACCTTTTTGGTGAGCTCCAAGAGCTCCAAGATGAATAATAATAATAACAATAATAAAAAGCTAATAATTCTTGAGCACTTACTGTATGGAAGACATGGTGCTGTTAGGGATTTGTGATTATTCAGAACCATATTAGAGATAAGGAAATTCTCTGGCTTCTCTTAGGTCATGTGGTTGGATGGTGGGAAACCTGGATTCCAGCTGAGCACTCAAAACCAAAGCCCCCGATCTTAACCATCCTATTGTATATTCTCCTACTGAGCCCAAATCAACTCCTTTAATCCCTACCCAATTAGCCTAAATTCTCTCTTTGGGGCCAACCAGAACATGTTCATCTCTCTTTCCCCCATTCATTTATGTAACAAAAAGAATATTAATTGAGTACCTCCTAGTTGTTAGTGTCCTCCAGCTTATAATACAGCCATGAAAAAAGGAAGGAAGTCTCTGCTTTCATGGTGTCGACACTCGCTCTCTTAAATGGTTTGAAAAGACCTATTAGATTCCTAAGGGTTTCCTTTTCTTCAGACCAAATTTTCCTACTTCTTTCAACCATTTATCATAAGACACATTTCAAGTTCTTTTTAATCCTGATAGTCTCTCTCTTCTAAACACATTTCCATTTGTAAACATGTCTTTTAACCACTAGATATGAACACAGCAATCCACATACTTTCTGATGGGTCTGTTAAAAGCAAGACAGACCCACACCACCAAACCAAAGCATAATTTAATTACAGTTTCTACTCTCCCAGAAATGGAAACTTAAAACAGTCAATTAGGAATTGCCTGATCAGGACTAGTTAGATAATCTGCCCAAGAGACCCCTCCATCCCCTAAAGGAAGGTAACCTTCCAATAACCAACCTGCCTTTTTGTCTAGTAGTGGAACCTCTTCGTTCCTGCTTCCAAATGGCTGTGAGTAGCTTTCTTTTTTCTTTCTTTCTTTCTTTTTTTTTTATACATTTATTCGTTTTTTTGAGAGACAGAGAAACAGAGTGCAAGCAGGAGAGGGGCAGAGAGAGAGGGAGACAGAGAATCTGAAGCAGGTTCCAGGCTCTGAGCTGTCAGCACAGAGCCCAACAGGGGACTTGAACTCACGAACTGTAAGTTCATGACCTGAGCTTAAGTTTGCTGCTCAACCAACTGAGCAACCCATGGGCCCCTAGCTGTAAATGTCTTTCATTCTGTACAGCTCTTCGGAGCTCCCTTCTATCTGCTAGATTGGATGTTGCTCAATTTGAATCCATTTTTGTCCAAATACAGCCCTGAAACTGTAATGTGCCTCAAGTTTATGTTTTCACAGTCCTGGTGCAGAAGAGCGAACCAGGAGCAGCAAGCAGCCAGACCCAGGGAGGTACCTGCTGTGCCCCTGAGCTCCAGCAAGCGGACCCCGGTACCTGCCGAGCCCCCCGAGCTCCAGCAACCGGACCCCGTACCTACCGAGCCCCCCGAACTCCAGCAACCGGACCCCGGTACCTGCCGAGCCCCCCGAGCTCGGTGCTTCGCGCCGCCTCCGGAGGTGTGGGGTCGCCCCTGTGGGATCCCGGCAGCTTTTCCGTGAGAAGCGCTAACGTAACCGGAACATTCTTCTTCCCGACTGGATCCAGAAGCCAGAGTCCGACTGGGTCTGACTGAGAAACCAGACAGGGTCCCGCGGCCGACTTGGTCCGACTTCCAAACCGGAAGGAGTTCCGGGCCGGCCTGGTTCCGGCTTAGAACGCGGACCGGGTCCGACTTTGAAGGGGGACTGAGCTGGGATGGGACTGGGTTCGCGGCTGCCCCGCGTCCGCCGTGAGAACCGCCCGGGGGCAGGGCCGGAGGGTCCGGCGCGAGGCCTGGCGAGTCCGTCGGCGGGAAGGCTGCCTAGCAGGGGAAGCTCCGCAGAGACGGCCTCGAGTTCCCGCGGCCACGCGCAGCGCTTCTGTCCTGGGGCCGCTCGTGCACGTGTGAGGAACCCTCCAGAACAAGGCGTCCCCGCCGAGCGCTCACCGTGAAGGGAGGGGAGGCTTGTTCCTCCTCTAACACACCGACGACCAGGCGGGGAAGGCTGGGGCGCCCTGCTCTCTCCGCGGCCCGCGGAGCCTTCTGGGAAAACGGGCCGAGGCCACCGAAGGGTAAGCGTTTGTACGAAAGGCGGCTCCCCTAGCGCGATCTGTGGGGCCTGGGCCAGAGAGGAAGGTAAAATGTCCTTGCCTCTTCCGTTCGCAGTTCAGATTGGCAAGCAAAGAAAGAAAAAAAGGCAAAAACAAAAACAAACATTTGTAAGAATTAGACCTTTGAGTTGTGACTCATGAATTTGCTCTCAGGTACCATTAGTTGTTAGTCCTTTCCCAGGGACAGCTATTGCCTTCTTGTTTGTCGCATTTTATGTACTGAGAACTTGGCTTGGCAACCATCGGGTTGACAGCTCCAAAAATATGGCCAGGTGGAAATGTGGATTGTCTCTGTTTACCTCTTAACAGGTCAGAGAGGGAGAGAGAAAGCAGAACCATTAAAGACAAACAATCTGGGTTTATGTATTCCTCTGCCTATAACCTCCAAACCTCTTCTCTCCAGACCTGTAAAATGGCCCAATTAGACATGACAATTTCTAGCATTCAATGATTTAACTTCCGTTTACTGTGGCAAAGTTCTTTAATATTAAGGGTGTCCTTCAGATGTCCTCTAGCATCATAGACAAGATGCAGGAAGCCATCTTGCATCCATAACTTCTGTTAGCATGGTTATTTGGTGAACTGTTAGGCTCTGTTGGCTGAGTCACTCAGCAGATCACAGCATCCTCTAGTGGTGAGATTTAAACTCCAAGAAACCCGTATTCTGAATAGTACCAGAAATTAACCGAAACCTTAAGAGTGTCAGGCAACTGTGTTGGGACAGATTTTGATGCACCTGGTGCATCTCAGGCTTTTTTAGACCTCTATCCACTTCTCCAATCTCTGCTGGTTCTTCAATGAGACCTCAGGATTTTAAGGTACTTTTCTGTCTCTTTTTCATGGATTATAGATACTTTTTTCTTTTGATGTACTTCTTTACCTCTACCTTATTTGCTGTCATAGGTCTTTTAATATGAGGATGTTACCTAACTTCATATGGAAGAAATAGGCAAAGAATAATCCACTTGAGCTGGATAACACAAAGTGTTAGATTTGGAGTCCTCCCTGGATTAAAAGCCTAACTTTGCTACCTTATTTGCTGGTGCTATTAGTCAGATTACTTAACTTTTCTAAGTTGACGCACAAGATAAGGATAACCTCACAGGGTTATTGTGACTCACACATAAATCTGAGTCAATTACACAGAGTCCTGGTACAATAATAGATGCTGTATTAAGTCGCAAGGAAACTTAAAGGAACTATTTCAGTCAGTGAACAGTAACCGGTAACATGTTTCTGGACTGAGAGTTTTCCAACTATCCTTCTCATGCCAGTTAATTCTCTATGGGATTATATGTATTCATGATTATTTGTGTTCTGCCAGTTAATATCTGCAGTCACATTTCCTGAGACCTTCTTCAGAATGTGAGGAAGGAAATGGGAAAGGAAAAAGCATCATGAAGGAAACTTTGTCCAAAATTTCAGGATTGCTGTGTTTTGTAAAATTTGTTCTATTCTGAGTTTATTTCAGCCCCCTGACCCCAGTGTAATCAAACGTGCCTTTGAGGAAAAAGCATTCAGGAACAACAAGAAGTATTTAGATGCATTTTATTCAACAGTCAGGCCAGCTAGGCATTGAAGTGACCACATGGGATTTTAGAACCTTGATTCTCAGCAAGGCCCAGATTTTTTAATGAGGACAGGGATCTGGCGCTTCCTATAGAAGAGATTGAAAAAAAAATCAACTTAAAATTTGCTGACAAAAAAAGTGACAATGAGAGAAAAACAATGAAAAAAGAGCAGCTTTATTTGAAATAGAAAAGTTTCAGGTTTATTCCCATTTCTCTGTTTTTCACTCATTTATTCATTCACTTATTCATTGATTCATCAAATATTGATCAAAACTCTTGCTTATATACACTAGGGATACAACAGGAAGGAAAAATGTCTGTTCTTACAGAGTATGCAGATCTGTGGCATTACAGTAAACCACTGAAATCAATCTCTAAATCATCACTGCTTCTTTTGCTCCTGATATCATTGTCCTAGCCACAAGATTTCCATTTTAGTTGCTGGCTAGCCTACTCCAGGATGCTCTAATTGGCTGATTTTTTGCCTTAGAACTCTGGGTATTAATGTCTATGGTATCTTACAAAAGGAAGTCCTGTCTCCATCCTGATACCTGCCAGCTCTAAGCATCCTCCCCTCCAGATAAAAACCTCTCTGCTCCCCAACTCACCACCTTTCCCAAACCAGTCTTCTCTTCTGTCAGCTAAATATTCCTAATAATTCCTATAATTGTTCTTCATGAGATTGTTTGCAGAACTCTCTCTCTCTCTCTCTCTCTTTTTTAACTATCCTTTCCTTGAATATACTGGTTTATAAAAATTCTTCTATTTCTCCATTACTTGAGGACATCTGACTTCCATATATCTTTTTACATGTATTTACCTGGACCTTTATTCATCCTTTTCAGAGCTTTTTTTTTTTTAAGTTTATTTATTTATTTTGTGAAAGAGAGCATAAGCAGGGTAGGGACAGAGAGAGGGAGAGAAGGAGAATCTCAAGCAGGCTCCACACTGCCAGCACAGAGCCTAACACAGGGCTCAGACCCATGAACTGTGAGATCATGACCTGAGCCAAAACTAAGAGTCAGATACTTAACTGACTGAGCCACCCAGGAACCTCCTTTTTAAGAGCTTTTGATGTCTTCTTGTTCAATTATTATTATTCATGTGTAACACTTATGTCTGAGTTGTTTAGCACACACAGCACAAACATCTAAACACAGTTGATATATTTCCATGACTGTCCTGTCCAGTAGAGAAGCCACCATCCCTATTCAGCTATTTAAATTCAAATATGTTAAAAATGATGTAATATTAAAAATACAGTTTCCTAGATGTACTAGCCACATTTTAAGTACTGGCAGCAAGTCTAGTGGCTTCCATACCAGATAACATAGAGAGAGAACATTTCCATCATTGCAGAAAGTTCTACTAGAGAGCGCTGATCTATAGAACAGAATTTGACAGTACAGATTCCCTAAGGAGACATAGAAGAGATAGAAAAAAGTCCTTACTGACTGTATCTGACAAGCACATAATGATCCAGGAGATGCAAGCACAATCCAACAACTAGGGTCAGAGCTTGGCTCTAGTTAACTCTACTACATATTCATTTGGGGCTTTTAACGGGTGGTAGAGAAAAAGGCAGCCTGGTACATTTGAAAATATTTTATATTAGAAAAAGCCACATTGTCTCTCTAGACCTGTTTTCTTATCTGAGAAATAAAGGAAGAGAAGTTACATTTTATGGCATTTAAATGTTCTTCCTATATATGAACATTTTTGAAAAAATAGAACAAGTAAGCAGCATGGGTAGGTTTTAAAGGCTGAAAGAAAGGGATATCTCAGCTCTAAGCTCATATTTTCCCAATATTTCACTCTAAATATTGGGCCTTTTGGTCTTGGCACTTGGATCTTTTCTAAATCTCAAGGCTGTTATTTTACTCTCTCCTCCCTTTGGATGGAAATATGATGTTTAACCTTTATGTCAACAACCTAGATCATGAGAAAATTAACACGTGTTTTTGAGTTCCCTTTACAAATCTTTAGTGTGGAAATAAATTCACCACAAAGTGGAATTTTTCGAAACATTCACCTAATGTTTCGGTTCTAAAACTTGAGAATGATAGATATCTCTCCCTGGGGCCCTATTTCCTCAATGCTTGCTAACACTGAGAATTTTCTGAAGTGATTTAAAGCAAACCAAGAGACATCATGCTATAGGAAAGCATGGTTGGTTGTTCTACACCATTATTTAACCTGGAATGCTTTTGTAGTGCTGCCAAAATTCAGAGCCCTGTTTAAATGACATCCTTTTCATGAATCCTTTCTTGACGCTTTCAATGACAAGAAATCTGATTTTCTCCTTCACACGTGTAGCACTTTCTTCACACCTCATTGATGGTGCATTTTACAGGTTACAAGAAGCTACCTTGTTTGCCCTGGTGACCTATTTTCTCTTACTCAGAAGCACAAAGAAAGCAGAGGAAACTAGCATGATGCTGAGCACATGTTAGGTGTTCAGTAACAGAGTAAAATATAAAGTCTGTGGTAAATCTGCTTGTCTACGTGCTGGAGTTTGATTCCCCACCTATGGTCACTTCAGAAAATGAGCTTCATTAAGGCGAGCTCACCTCCCTAAATAAAACTGTTAGGAAAATATATTTTTGGTCCCTAATCTATGCAATTTATATTTGCATTTTTGAGGGCTTTAGTTAACACAATCATTACCATCAACAAGAATGATTTTTTAAAGAAAATTTAATTTTAAGTAATCTCTGCACTCAATAAGGGGCTCAAACTCACAACCCCAAGATCAAGGGTTGCATGTTCTATCAACTGAGCCAGCCGGGCGTCCCTGTGATTTTTTTTAAATTTCAAGGTATTTGGGGGTATATTAGCTTTTAAAAAATCTAGACTAGCCACTGTTTTGCTGTAAAAGCATGTTTTTTTGGTCATATAAGTGATTTTTTAAAACTAGTTGAGAGAGACATTCAGGTGCTTTCCTCCTCCATTCCACTGTCCTTTCCTTAACACATGTATCTTCCACTATGCAATTAATTTGTTTCTCCCTTTTGTTCAGCTTTTTCTCCTTATTAGAATGCCTCACTGTCCTTCTTGAGGGTCTAGAGAAAGCCTCCAAATTTTTCCAAATCTTAGCAGGCATACTTAGTTGTTTTTAGTCTTGTGCTCTCAATAGCACTTGGCTCTTATTTCCACTACCCACACTGTATTAGCACTGAGTATAATAAAATGAGAGTCAAAACATGTTGGATTTTCTTCTTTATCTCACAGATGCTGGGGCTGGTACCTGACTTTAAAGCATAGTTGAGGGGCATCTGGGTGGCTCGGTTGGTTAAGCGTCTGATTCTTGATTTTGGCTCAGGTCATGATTCCAGGGTCATGGGATCAAACCCTGTGTCCATCTCAGCGCTGGCTGTGGATCCTGCTTAAGATTCTCTGTATGCCCTTCCCCAACTTTCTCTCTCTTTCTCTCCCTCTCTTTCTCTCTCTCTCAAAAAAAAAAAAAGTTGAAAAAAGCAAGGATATGGACCCAGATCTGTCACTTCCTGCTGGTTGATCTTGAGCAAGTAATTTAAGCTCAGTCACAATCTCTTCATGCATATAATGGGCTTAGTATTATCTGCTTCATAGACTTGTGAATATTAAGTGCCTTGCACAATGCTTGACACAATAAAGATTGTCTTTATTTTATTTTTTTTTTATTTTAAAATGTTTTATTTACTTCTGAGAGAGAGAGAGAGAGGCAGCGTGAGTAGGGGAGGGAGACACAGTATCAGAAGCAGGCTCTAGGCTCTGAGCTAGCTGTCAGCACAGAGCCCAACACGGGGCTTGAACCCACCAACAGTGAGATCATGACCTGAGCTGAAGCCGGACACTTAGCTGACTGAGCCACCTAGGCGCCCCAATAAATATTGTCTTTTTTTTTTTTTTTAATATTTATTTTTAGGAGAGAGAGAGAGAGAGACAGCGTGAGCAGGGGAGGGTCAGAGAGGGTGGGAGTCACAGACTGAAACAGGCTCCAGGCTCTGAGCTGGCAGTCAGCACAGAGCCCGACGCGAGGCACAAACCCACGAACCGCGAGATCATGACCTAAGCGAAAGTCAGACGCTTAACCGACTAAGCCACCCAGGCGCCCCATAAATATTGTCTTTTATTGTAATACACACATACATGCATGCATGTCTCCATAGAATCATACCAGATATAGAATAAGGAGAAGAAGAGATTGAGAATTATTTTTGGAAAAACTAGTTGTTTGTTTCTCTTTTGGTAAGATTAATGTTATTAGTATATTGATTGAAACTTAGGGGAGTAAAATATATGAAAACTCTAAGACAACTAGCTTAAAAATATGTTTTAAGAGACAGTCAAGTTTGTACTCACTCATTTTCAACACATAACATGCATTCATTAGAATAGGTTTTTCCATCCGTCCCACAGACAGGATTATAGATCCTAGTACATCCAATTACTTGAGTGTTACAGTTAGCCTGAAAATGGAATTAAACAGAATCACTTTCCATCATTTTGTATTCTTTGAATTTATAGCAAAGTCTCTAAAATGGCTTTCACTTCCCTGGAGTTGATCAGCTTAAAGACAGGCCTGACTCTGGTGGGGGTAGTGGTAACGAGTGTCCAAGACAAAGAGTTCAAGGTTTGGAACCAGAGGCCTGATTGTACGGACTGCCTCTGCTGTTTACAAGCTGTGAGACGTTGGCAGATCTCTCGGCGTCTCTGAAACTCAGTCACCTGTTCTGTGCAAGGAGAAGGGTATTTTCATCTCCCTGCCTATCTTGCGATGATGTTGTAAGGTTTAAATAAATAAGGTGAGTGAGGGCATGCCTGCGGGTGCTGGTTCCTCTCGGGTCAGCCACACCCTGGACATGTCTTCCTAGTCTACTGTGGCCCAGTCACACTGCCCTTCTCTCAGTCAAGTGATGACACCTGGTGCTTTGTGCCCTTGGAGTTCTGGCTTAGCGATTTCCTTGACATCAGTAAGAACTCAGAATCATGGAACAGCTGTCACAGGTCATACTTGCTTTTATGTACTATTCTATTTCAACCTTGCAACTGTCCTAGGAACTTTTTATTATACTCTTCTTCCAGTGAAGACAATGAAGCACAAAGAGATTAAATGACCCAAGGCCACACAGCTGGTAATTCCTGGATCCAGGATTCAAACCTAGTTGGTCTAGGTTCTGAGCTTTAGCTTTTAACCACTTCACTCTACTATTTCTACCCACCAGTTATATTTTGCTAATGGTCACTTATCCTTTATGACTCAAAATAAATTTCACTTAGTTAGGGGCACATTTTCAGATTTAACTAGGCTAGATTCCCCATAGTACCAGAACTCTTCACAACCCTTATCATTAGTGTAATAGTTTATTCACTCGTGCCCTTTTGGTTTGTCATCTGTGTCCTCACTAGATATAAATATAATGAAAAGAGGGACACTTCCTTTTCTGGGCTTCAGATTTATTGCAGTTTACCTTATAAACACAGAGAAAAATAGGAAAGTTACATAGAGGATATTTTTCTAGAGAAAGACCCTAGTCTCTTATTTTCCTGGGCTAGTTATAAATTAGGGCTCCACCTTGGGGATCGGAAGGACTTCATGCCAGCACAGTCAAGCTGCCTATAAGGAGGGAAGGCTACTTGGAGTGAAGTTAAGAAGAATGACACCCAACTTCCTTGTCCTACCAGATAGCCTCAAAGCATAGAAAACCCCCTCAGAGTGAGGGCTGTGTGACTACGTGGAAACTGCCTGTGTGTCAGTGCATTTGTCCTTCAGCATGAGCCCCTGTGGGGAAACTGCTGTCACTTTCCACACTTTTTAAGTCTTGCTAGCACCACACACCTGTCCTGACTTCAGGTGAAATGAAATGTGGCAGCCTGACTGTGTGTTGATTAGAGCAAACAGTTCTAGCCCTAGAGGTAAGAAAGTACAAAATCGTTTTTACCTCTCTTCCCGGCGTGTCAGCTCTCGTGTTGCCTAGAAAACATAGATCAGATGTTGTGAGGTTGGATCCTAAATGGGAGAAGCTAGCTCTGCTTTTATTCACAATTTTAGCTTCCATTGAAGACTGTGACTTCCCTGCTTTCCTCTTCTGCCCCCCAACCCTTTCTTATTTCTGTCTTCTCTCAAGGACATTTCACTGGTGTCCAGTCACTCCCTGCTTGCTGAAGCCTCAAGAGAATGAAGCAAAAGTTGGATAATGATCAAAGTATCTCAGTTTGGGATTTCACAAAAGTTGACCCATTTCTTTGAAAATATAAGTGATTTACTTACTGCTTGAAATGTATCATGTACGGAGCAAATATCTTATGAACGCTCACTGACATTCTCACCACTGATTACTAGACCTTTGATCTTTGAATTAGTGATGTAAGAAGTGTAAGTATCTTTAATTCAGTATATAGATGAAGATGTGGAGAGCTTATACAACTAATTGTAAAGCAGTTACCACTAGCAGTAACTAGGTCTTGTGACACAAAACTAACTTGCAATGACATGTAATTCTTTTTGTAAGTAATGTTAAAAAAAAATGGAGCTCATTGGACAACTCAACATCAGTCCCCAAGGAACTCATTCCCTCTTTTACATTATGCTGATTATTAATCCAGTTCACAGTTATCCAGTTCACAGATAGATGCTTAAAATTGCCATACTGCATTCCCCGGAAAATCACAGGTGTTGCTGGCATCATGTAGAGAATGGTCATTTTGGTTGAGCTCAGTGAAAGGAAGAGGAGCTAACCTGATAGTATCCAAAGAAAGAAATGTTGTTGAGATTTGATTTTGATATTGACAATTGCTGAGGTGATCTAGGTAAGGAGGTAGCTCTTCTGAGCTAAATGTCATAAGAAGCAGCAAGGGCACTTATGGGCTTGAAGAAGTCCTTTGGAATAGGCCCCTGGCCTTATTTCATCTCACAGGAACCAACAGATCTAAGACTAAACTCTACATCTAGAAGGTAATGGCCTCAGTAATGCAACAAGTCAAACAGGTTTTAAGCAAATCAGAAAAATATACAGACACCTACCAGAGAATCCCAGCAGGGCCAAGGCACAGAGAAGAAGGATGCTTGTTACCTTCATGGCTGAAAAGTTCTGTATCCAGTCAGTAGAAGATGGCATTGAACTCACCTCTTCTCTTCAGAGCCCTGGAACTGGAAGGGTCATATAGACAGGGTGGCCACCCAGGCTCCACCTCCTGTCCTGTCACCAGATTTCTTGGGTTATTGATTGACTCGTGTTGATAGACTCTGTAGCATAGCCTGACCCCAAGTTTCAGGAATGGCACCTGTGTAAGAAAGGTGGAAGCAGCAGCACGGGCCTGGAATGTGCTTGACCAAGACACCGTCAGAGAAGTTCTGGTGGTTAGTTAGTTGGTTCCCTCCACAACCTCCTCTGTGACTCTGGGCAACCCTAGTGTTCTCATCTCTAAGCTGAACTCAAAGGTCCCCTGTAGTCTGTAGCTCTGGATATGTGAGCAGGTATGGATATCCAAAAATTGCTCTCCATTTTTTCTTCCTCTCCTTCTGCTTCTCCCTTTTTCATTCTTTCTCTTTTCATTTGTTGTCACTCATTCACAAAGCTCAGGATAGCTGACAGAGAGACAGGTTAGAGATAGAGAGGGCTCAGTTCCCTAAGTGTGTGTGTGCTTTGGGACAAGATCGTGCTCTCCAGATGCTTAATAGCTCTGTGTTCTTGGACCGATAGTTCACTCTGCTGTGCCTCAGTTTATTCATCTGAGATCTGAAATAATAATAACACTTAAGTGTTTATCTTTCATTCACATGTATGTGTATTGTGTCTACCATGTGTTATTCGGAGACAGTTCTCCATTGTCTCTTGTGTTTCTGCCTGGCTTGTAAGGAGAGGTACTCACTGCCTGTGCTTCAGACAATCTTTTCAAGAGTTTGTACAACAAATGAACTTAGAAGGTGGAATAGTGTCCCTGGAGCAAAGGGGAGGTTTGTTCAACATTCATTATAATAAAGATAATATCTCTCTCCAGTGCAAAGATTAGGTGGGCATAGTGCACTTTAAAAAAGATTAGGGAGGGATGCCTGGGTGGCTAGGTTGGTTAAGCGTCTGTCTTTTGATCTGGGCTCAGGTCATGATCTCACAGTTCGTGAGTTCGAGCCCTACGTGGGGCTCTGTTTTGACAGCATGAAGCCTGCTTAAAATTCTCTCTTCCTCTTTCTCTCTCCCTACCTCACTCATGCTCGCTTGCTTGCTCTTTCTCTCTATCAAAATAAATAAATAAACTTCAAAAATATTTTTTAAATTAAAAAAATAAAAAGATAAGGGATTTTGGGGGTACCTGGGTATAGAGATTACTAAAAAAAATAAAAATAAAAAATAAAATAAGCATTAAAAAATTAGAGATTTTTGAAGACATGACATCCTTCTCATGGAGCACAGTGCACTTTCTCCATAGGTGCCACTTGGTCTTCTTCATGGCACCCTGTAGAAGCTTGGGAAATTAGAACAGATGACACTAGCACTGGACTATCGTCATTGAATAATTAAGTCCCTTGTTTCTGACTCAGGAGTCTGTGTTTTCTGCCAGAATCCCTTTAACTGTGGCAGGCTAACTTGTTAGCTTCCAAGTAGGGTAAAATCTCAGATCTCCCCTCCTCTTGATCTGTGCTCGTGTCTGAGGATACATCAATGAATAAAAATGAGAGTCCTTGCCCTCAGGGAGACTCCACTGCATTTTAGTTGGGGGAGACAGATAATTTTAAAGTATATCAGATTATGATAAATATTATGGGTAAAAAGGTTAAGTATGCTGGAGGATCAGGACATAGTTGTTATAGATGGGTCAGAGAAGGCCTTGTTGATTAAGTGACATTTGAACAGAGACATGAAGCAAGTCAGGAACTGAACCAGGCAAGTATCCAAGAACATGCCCTCCAGAAAGAGAAAAGCAAGTGCAAAGGCTCTGAGGCAGAAACTTGCTTGACACACTTGAGAAACAGCCAGGGTGATAGTCTGGCTAGAGCAAAGTGATAGAGAGGAGACTCACAGGGAGGTAAAGGAAGGAGTGAGGCCTGGATAGTGAAGGGCTGGGTAAGGACTTTTGTTTTTAACCAAAGAAAATGCCATTGGAGAGCTATTTCACAGGTGCGACATGATATAGCACTCACCCTAAAAGTTCATTTTTTAATGTTTATCTATTTTAAGAGACAGAGACTGAGTGAGAGCAGGGGAAGGACAGAAAGAGGGAGACACAGAATCTGAAGCAGGCTCCAGACCCTGAGCTATCAGCACAGAGCCCAATGCAGGGCTTGAATCCACAAATGGTGGGATCATGACCTGAGCTAAAGTCTAACACCCAACCAACTGAGCCACCCAGGCGCCCCTATGCCTTGTTTATTTCTGTGTCTCTAGTGCCTGCCAGAGTACTCATTTGTTGTTTCATTCCATCTTTTATGGAATTCAACCACCATCATTATAATTCAAATATCCATTGAGTTCCTACTGTTTAAAAGCTCTGGGCTGACTGCTAGGGAAATAGATTTTAGTTTCTGCCCTTATGGAGTTTAGGCTGAGCATTGATAGAGATAGTTTGAATGAGTAAAAAAATTTTCTTTTCATCTCAAATCATAATTTAAATAGCAGTTTGGTTGATAGTAAGAAGGTTGTAATAGCCACTGTAAAGGGAGTTAATATTTGACAGAAGAAATTTTTCTTTGACCTCATAGGCAGTCTGAGGAAAAGAGAACTGGCTGGGATCTCATTGCAGGAACTCTTTCGGTAATAATACCACCAATAATAACATTCAGACTAAGGCCTGTCTCATGCCAAATCCTGGACTCTCTCTACCAAACATTGATTTATAAACATTTTGACTGTGTACCCAAAGCAAAAATAGAAATTTTATGCTATAGCCTAATGTATACATACATATGTGTAGACAAAATTGTTAAGAAACAAAGCATAGCCTTGTTCTATGCGATGACTCTTCGTGGCTTTTATTCTGTTCTATCTCATAGTTCACGTACCCTGACATGCATTTTGAAAAACAATTAACAACAGTAACCTTGCCACCTTACAATCTTCTTTACTTAAATGCTAGATAAGTAGGATAATATTCTAGTTAGAGACTGGTCCTCATATTGTGATGGGAAATGGCTTTTGGGAGGCCCCAGGTTGAAGAGGAGATGAAGAGACAGACCTGGCTCCAAATACGAGTCTACCATTTCACCTGTGATGTGACTCTGGTTAAATCCTCCAATACAAAAATACATGTCATAATATATTCATTAGGTATGAGAATAAATGTAGAAAAGCAAATAAATACTGTGCAAAAGCATAATCATCCATTTCCCCTGGAATAATCATTGCTACCTGGTAATAACCTGACTCTTCCTTCCACAGATTGGAATAAATGGATAATATGTTGAGGCTTTATAAGATCACTGTCTGGACAGAATAAATATCATTTGCCCTAAGAGATGGGATAGGCATTGTCTGGAACAACTCTGCTTTTTTGCTAGGCTGTTAGCTGTATTTAGTGTGTTTACATGGCCTAAGCTTGTATAAATCTTTCTATCTGACTCCTTTTCCTCTCTGTGCACATACTTATATGTATGTGTCTTCAGGAACTCAGCAAACATACTATGACCTACTCCCCTCTGTTTCAAGGACTAATTATTCACCTGAATAAATCAAAACTTAAGAGAACTGTTCTAGTGCATGCTGATAATACTTGCTGGAATGAGGATGTTGCTTGGGCACCTGCTGATTTTCACATCCTGTGCCCAAGGTTTGACTGGTAACAGAAACTAGTTACATGGAGTCTCATGTATTTAGCCTGACGTGTGAAGACCTCTGACTTAGCTGCATCTTAACTCTTCCATCTGATTTTTCAGTATTCATGGAACGTCATGACTTGTCTTAATTATAACCACTTCTGATAAAAAATTTTCAAAAGTTTCTATGCCAGGCGCCATGGTACTTTATTTCCATCATTATAAATCCCTATTTATAGCACTATTATTTTCATTTTACATGTAAGGAAATTGAGATAGAGGCACAGAGATTTCAGTTGTTATGTTCCCTGGTCACAGAGACCAAATACTGATCACAGATTTTAAAATAGTCAAGTGCGCACAGGTATGCATATACAGATGTATATTTTATATGTGTGCATATATGTGTATCTGATACCTGACTTCACATCTCTTGTTAATTCTTCCTAAAGCACTTCTTTATGACCCACCACTTCATACTTTGAAACAGTAGTTTGAGCTTAATGACCTATTTAGAGCAGTGGCTTATACTTCAGGAGGCCTGAGTTCCTAATTTAATGTAGCCACTGAAAATCTGTCTTAAGTTTTTGCAAGGTCTCTTTACTCTGTAGGCTTCAGTTTCTTTACATACATGTGTTATAATGAATTCTGCTGAGTAGGTTACATTTTCACCCTCTTAATAATAATATCTTTTGGGGCACCTGGATGGCTCATTTGGTTACACCTGACTTTTGATTTTGGCTCAGGTCATGATCTCACAGTTGCGGAGATCGAGCCCCACATTGGGCTCTGTGCCTGCTTGGGATTCTCTCTCTCTCTCTCTCTCTGTCTCTCTTTCTCTGCCTCTACCCCACTTGTTCTCTCTCTCTCTCTCAAAATAAATAAATTAAAAATTATGATAATATCTTTTGATGAACAAAGGTTCTAAATTTTAATTGAGTCCAATTACTTTATTGTTAGTGTTTTTGTATCCTATTTATGAAAACTTTCCACACTCCAGGATTGTGAGAATATTTTATATAATCCTAGAAGCTCTACAATCCATTGTAATTAATTTTTTTGACTGATGTAAATAGGTCCCAAGATTCAATTTTTTTTTAACGTGGGTTTGTGGATAACAAACCCATTTTTAAATTATCGAAAGTACCATTTTTCCTTATCACTATGCAATGTCATTCTTGTCAGAAACCAGTTGGCCACATAATTGGGGTAAATTCCTTTATCCTATTCTTTTTTGTCTATCCTGTTCAGATACCTTACAGGATATTTTTTTCCCAATTTTGAGAAATAATTGACGTATGTCACTGCATACATTTAAGGCATACAGCATGA